GTATTGATCAGAAACCTGCCCACACACAAACACACACACATCTCCTCCCTCCCAAAGGATCGCTCTCTTATTCATTACAGGGAAGCAGAAGAGCAGGACTGTCGTCCTGATACGATGTGAGCTGTTTTTGACGTCACCAGCACCAACCTATTTTGAGATTTCAAATCGTCACAGATTCAAAACTGCTGCAAAATGCAGTTCTTGTGATTTAAAGTCTCTTTAAAAGCAGATGTTTCCTGCTGTGCAGAAACAAATGTGGCAATCCCATCAACTTGTAGCATTTAGTTAGCGCACCGACTCATTTAAATTTTATACCATTTTGTGTTGCTTGCTTTGTGGTAGCTTAATGGTAGTTTTAAATATCCTGAACATTGTTTCTTTACAGTTTTACTTATATAGATTCACAGTTAGCATATTAGCTAGGCTAGTAAACAGACTTAGCTTCCCAACCGTAGCTTTAAATCTGGGTTTTGTTTTCCCCTAACTGTTTGCAACATTGGTATAACTTGATAGACTCAGCCAGTGCTTTTCCTACGATCAACTGTCTTTGACTGTGGCGCCACGTCTCTGTTGTGAGAAAAGCTCAGCAGCTCGGCGGCCATCAGCTCTAATGAAAGTCATGATGGCAGCACCTGTGCAGGCAGCGGCCCGTGAAAGCTGTCAGAGGAGAGGTGTTGATGTGGAACCGGAGACTTGTAGTAAAGAAAAAAAAAAAAAAGGGAAACGTCTTTAACTCAGCTCGGCGCCTGAGCCTTAAAAATCTCTCTTTTATTTTATTTTTGCTCCTGCAAAGAAGAGGAAGAAGCGTAGCCACTGGCAGATCATTTCCAACTGCAATTTGGGTCATCATCAGCTGATATTTTAAGATACAACAGCCTGAAGTTACTTTTCTTGCATGCGGGTGCACGTGTCGACATGGTAAGAGGAAGGAGGCAGGGGGGGTAGGGTGCAGGGTAAAGTGGGGAGCATTTAGCTCATGAATTAACTAATCCAATCTGAGCTCTATGATAGCTGTCTGCTCGGAGGGGCCTCTGGGGAGGACAGTGTTACGGTAACAGCCGAGGTTAACAAGCAGAGCTGTGAATTCTTCTGCATCAAAAAGATCTGAATGGAGAGCTCTTGGAGTGTATCGATTGTGAGAGCATTGGCTGCAGCTTTAATCTTGTCTCTAAAGTGAGCCTTCTGTCTGAGGATTGTTGGAAGCAACGCTGCTGCTGCTGCTTCTCTCTCCTGCCAACGTTCCAGATAAAGAAACACCAAAAACCCACATGACCGTATTATGTGTTGGGGGGGGGGGCAGTGGAGGAAGCAGGACTGCATGGTCAGTATAGAGAGACAAAAGTGTCACAATTTCATAAAAAAATTAAGTTAATAAATACTTATTTGTACATGACCTAAGAAATAATTCAAGTAATGATGATTTGAAATTAATTTTTTTTCCGCTGCTAAGAAATTCTGTTACGAAGTCCACTTCAGACCAATTAAATTGACTAGTGTTGACCCCCAGCCCACACATCAATTAAAAGAAATAACATGGACATATCGGCCCCAACACTGTAAGGTAACCTGACCCACCTAAACTGTCACCACTAGTGGTGCTGGTGATTTCTAACCTTTTTTTTTTTTTTTTTTTTTTTTTTACCCATTTTTATGTCTTTTCAGATTCACTAGTTCTGCACTTTACTTTTTTTTAGTACAACACGATGACTAGGGGAACTTTTCATACTTTAGCTAAAATAAAATTTCTTTACTCGTATTGTGAGAAAACATGGTTTTATAACTCTATAACATAATGCTAAAAGGAGGTACATTTGTCAGAGGTCATAAACTGTCATATATCAGCGAAGTGAACTCGCCCGAAATTAGGGATCAGAACCAAAATAAATGAAAAAGTCTAATACATTTCAAATAAAATTAATATCCACTTATTTTTGTACAAAATGCAAGTAGAAAAGATATTAAATGGGAACAAGTAGGTACAGAATGGGAGTAAAACTTGGCAAACAGGCAACAGAAATGTCAACTTTTTAATGACCATCATGTCTTCCCAACAGAACTAATATACTTGCATAAAGCAGCAGCACTTCTATGACCCAGTTGCTGGTAACACAGAGATGATGCAGCACTGGCAGAATATCCCAGAGGAGGATGAGAAATGGAATTTGTAAAAGAGATGTCAATTTTCCAAGCAGTGCCAATAAAGCCATGGCTAATACTAATAAGATGCTTGTTTAATGTTTGAAATGTGTTGCTCATCAAGCTAACTTTCTAATTTTAACTGATTGATGACAAGTTGAATTAATATTTTTTATTACTCATTATTTTTTTTTTTAATTTACACAGTTCTGGACCCCCAAACATTTTAGACACACACTAAATAAACTCACCATGTTTAACCCTGACACCATATTTAGCCTTGTACAAATTGTTAAAACAAATTAGTTTAATTAATTTCAGTTGAAATTTGAAATCTTTTTATTTTTTTAATTTTAGCAGTTCTGGACCCCCATAGTTTTAGACAAACACCATGTTTACCTCTGATACCACATTTAGCCTCATGCAAATTGTTTGAACAAATTTCAGTTGAAGTTACACATTTAAAATCTTTTGACTATTTAGTTAATGAATTATGGCACTACTGCACCTCCATAGAATGTGCTAAAAAACACATAAAAATCAACTCACCATGTTGACTTCTGACACCATGTCTATGCTGGCCACATCTATACTCATGCCGACTGCAACTGGGGGGCCTGGAAGAGGTTAAACAGTGTTGTGTACCTGACCATCTTAGTGCGAATGGCGCCAAAGCAGCGCGCCAATGATTGACCATGACGGGCCGTGTACCTCCAAAGTCCGGTCTCAGTCGGATGTCGTACCCCTTCAGTAGTTTATCCACCGTTTCCTTCACGATGGACATGTTGCCCGGTTCGTTGACGCTGAAACGACAGCGGAGGAATGAGAGGAAGCACCACCCAATGGCTGCTGTGCCAATTAACCTGAGCAATAACCTTGACTTGTTGGGCGCAGAAACAAAACAAAAAAAAAAAAAAAAAAGAGCACTCACCTTTTTGCGCAGCACACAATCGCCCCAATAACCAGCGCGGACAAGACGCGAAATTGACGAACCTTCGGCAGAGCAAACATCTTCCTTCTCCCCTCTAATTTGATTTGATTGTTACCTGCTATAATTAGTGATATTCTTTATCCCCTGATGTTTACAGACACACCTCCTACGCCGCAATCAACAGTCTTTTCGCACGCAAATCCATGGAAGACTCCCCCCTCGCACACACAAACAAACAAAAAAAAAATACACCAGCAGAAAGTCGACTGAGACGCGGAAAAAGTCTGCTGCAGACGGAGTCAGATGTGGAATGTGGGTTGACATCGCCTCCCTCGGCGGGATTGTTGGGCTTCGCCTGGGTGTTATTATTATTTTTTCCTTTTTTTTTATTTATTTGCCCATGTCTAAATGTGCGAGAGGCTCTTAAATTGAGAAGCTGGAGCGCATATTGATGAGTGATGCTGCTGCTGCTGCTGGTTGTGGCGGTGGCACTAGGCTTGTTCAAACGAGAGACGAAGCTCAACACTTAACACACTGTAAAAAATGTCCACGACCTGCAATCAAGATCAAGTCCAAGCATAAAAGATATATGTAAGCAAAATGTTCAAATCATTTTCATTAAGACATTTTAAATGGTAGCGCATAATTTCTGACGATTTGTGACAACGCACAGAGGCTGCTGTTAAACCCAAAAATGTTTTTTGAAATAAAAGGTACATATTAAATATTAATGAGACAAAAATAGTTTTAGTTTGACGAGTTCAAGCATTCTAAATTGTGTTCCCCAGTCTAAACAAAAACTTTGAAACAGCCCTTTAGCTTTGTATTAGTAAACTGGAATATGGCTATTTTAGCACCATTAACAGCTAACAACAAGCTAATAATAGTATTCCAACAGTACTTAAACATAGTTTGTAATTTGTCTATCACTACCAGCAAGACCACAGCCCCTAATCTTGGCTTTCCAAATTGGACAATCAGAAATTCTTCACTTGTCCCAACCACAAAATCCAATATGGCTGCCATGACTGTAAATGGTAGCCATGGTAGCTGTTTATTTGTATTTCAAAATGTTTGTATCTCATTAAATTAGACATATGCAAAATGCTAAAGTATAAAATCTTAGCAAATACGTTGATCCAGTGTGTAGTAGCATGTTTTGAGAAAAGTAGTTAGCCTGGTTTCTAAACACACCAGTTGGCAAACCCCACTACTTGACCAACTTGCAACTGGGATACAAGTAGAATAACAAAGATTCAACTTCAATCTGCTAAATTAAGTGAATGACGCATCATAAACAAGGCAGCCATTTTGGATTACAAAGTAGGGGCTGTTAATAGTTATGACTTTGAAGAGGTATCGTAATTAAATTTGATAAGAATGTCTACATGTAAAAACAATAATGGAGACAAACAGTTCCCATGATGCAATTGGTTAACTTTTTTTTATTTATTTATCATTTTTCAAGCTAGAATAAAAATAGAGGGGTGTAGAGAAAAGTTATGGTATTTATTTTTCATTAATATATTAATACTTTGTATAAGAAGTGAAAAATAAAAAATAGATAAAAAATAATAACAGTCATAAAAGTTTTAAAGATATAAAATCTAAATCAAGTGAAATGACAGCAAAAAAAGAAAATCATTTGGGAACGAATGTTCAGAGTGAATGTTCAGACAACGTTTGCTGAACGTCAGGTCCGAACATTCGACGTTCGACTTTCAGACGACGTTCACGGACGTACTCCGAACATTTTCTTGCTAGCAGGGTAGTTTTTCCCAATTTTGTTTTTATCATTAGATAAACGTACTTGACTCTGTTAAACATCACTCTTGTTTTAAGATTTTTACAAATATTTATTGAAAAGATATTTTCTACATTTTGTTTTTCATTTAGCTTAGATCAACTTCTCCAAATGGACATTTTTTACAGTGTGCTCCACACCAGCGCCAATTCCCCTTCTGCCGTCTTTCCAATAAAAATGGCGCGAGTGGAACATTATCCAGTGAAGGCAGGGTGTTTTTTTTTTTTTAATCAACCTTTTAATCAATATCTGATTGGTCTTCCTGTTCATCGCGAACAACGGCCTTTTATTTATGCGACCTTAAACATTAGCTCGCACAATGGGTCATTTTGCTTGATTAGAAAGGCGGTCCGAGGAAGAAGGGAACCGTGTGTAATTGGGATGGTGCGTGTGCGCCTCACTCAGGGGGTCCAAAAGCAGGGATGAGGACTGGGATCAGGGCTTCCCTCTTACCTGGTGTCATAGATGGCGAACAACTTCTTGTTTCCGTCAACAGCATTCCTGAAAGAAGAGGTGGGATGACATCATTCATCAATGAAAGAGAATTTGACCAATGAAAAACGATTCTGTGTTTGAATCAATGCCGTGGCGTATATATAATATTACTAAAGTTTCGTGGGTTTTTTTATGCTTAAATTCAGTGTTAAGCAGTGGGGTGAGTACAGGACACATAATGAAGGACATTGGGAGTCCTCAGGGAGACGCCCCTCTCTGTGCAGGAGCTGTCCGCCAGCCGTGGTGCTGGACTCGGTCTCTTATGTGGGTACACTTGTTTTTCTTTACCGTCCACAGACTGCAACTCGGGACGGATTAAATCACGCGGACGGAGGTTAAACGTTATTCACTAATTACCAAACGTGGAGCTCGGCTACCCTCTTACGGCAGACGTCAGGATGATAAGTGTGTCCCTGTGGTGTGTGGGAATTAAAGAGGTGGGAAAATTAGTTTCATTGCAGATTTTTATTTGTATTTTTTTATTTTAGCACGCTGCAGTGTTTTAGATTACAAATAAATTCTAATGTGAAACAAAGGTGATTCTGAGTAAAACATTTAAATGATTTGCTTTTTCAAAGAATGGTCTATAGTGACCTGACTTGGACTGTGAAAAAGTATTTGCACCCCATCATATCTGAGGTGAAATCAACAGACGTGACCACTCATTCCTTTTGCTTTTCTTTTAGTTTTGTCGTGCTGTTTAGAAGTGGACTTGTTGGTGTGCTTTAGGTTATCTGTACCGGCTCTATATAAGAAGCTTAAGGTCAGGACTTGCTGGCTGAACACTCTCTTCCAGGATTTGCCAGAGCAGTATTCATAGTTCACTTAGTAAATGAGTAAACTGAAATATTTCAATCATACAATGAGTTGGAACAATTTGTGATCATGGAAATTAAGCTAATTAACATCTGAACTCAGACTTCTCTATTAACATTGCTAACTGTACTGAACAACAGTTGAAATAGCAATGCTAATAGTTAGCAGCATAGCCCAGTTGCTTTACTAGACTAATCAATAAGCTGAAGTAAATAAGGTAGTTTAATTTTTATATTTTTGTATCAGGTTGCTACCAAAAAGAGATAAAATTATAAAAACAATACTAGTTAACTTTTGGGTTAAAATGTGACCTGCAGGACAAGATATTTAACATACAATAAGTGCATAACACTAACAATAATTAAATTAAATATACTTTGAGTTTGTTTTGGTTATTACATGCATTTTGTTTGCTTCTCTTTTAGTCTTATTGTTCTCATATTTCATATCTTGTAGCAGTTGGATCAGTTTCTTCCCATTAAAATCCACTTGTTTTTAAGCCATATTGACTTTTCCTGCTCTCACTTTTCACTCTGGAAGTGAATGTGTTTTCTCCGTTCAACCAGACATTTCTCCGCACTTAAACACCATTAGGTCTCAGCCAATGGACAATATCAGCAGACTTTCCAGGCTGTTTGCATTATTGTATAAGAATGTCTTTCATCCTTTCTTCCACAGTTTCATGTCGTGTAGGTGGACGATCATTTCTACGTCAATGAATCTGGGGATAATTGAAGGTCTGTGTTTTTGTGTAGTAAGGTGATTTAAAGGGGGGAAACAATATTGCTGTTTAAAGGAAATGTTCCTCCCAAGCCAACAATGAAAAACATCTAATTAAAAAAATTATTAGCTGCAGCATTGTATTTTTCTGCATCGACAGTAGGCGGTGCAAAAAAAAAGAAAAAAAAAGAAAAAAGTGAATAAAGGAGGGAAAAGACGTGGAGTGAATCCAGTCTTCTCAGAGGCTGGCCAACGAGCCAGAAGAGGCAGCCCCCTTCTTCTTCTTCTTCTTCTTCTTCTTCTTCTGCTGGTGGTGTAACACTTCTGGAGGCGATGCGGTAAAGCCTTGAAGGAGGAGAGAGAAGCAGAGAGACACCTCCTGATGGGGAGCCGCTGATTGACAGAGAGGAAAGCAGAAAGAGAGAGTGCAGAAACAGCGCATGGTGAGGAAGCCAAAGAGGAGGAGGAGGAGGTGAGACGAGTGACTAGCAACGGAGAAGAATAGGTGGTGGTACAGTCCGGCTGTAGACCCTCTGCCTCCAGGCGCTCGGTAGAGATGGATCCGCATTCAGGTTGATGCTTTTTCTCTTTATTCTCAGATATAATTCCTTTTTGTGTTCAGATAGAGAGGATGCAAATATGTGGCGATAGAGGAGAAGGGAAGAGACGGCACAGAGGATGGGGGAAGGCAGGGGGTGGGTTGCCCACATGTTTTGCAATACCCTGAATTCATTGGAATAGAACATGCTGCAGAAAACAGTTTGCTTATTTTCTGTCTCATGAGCGGATTTTATCTGTTGGTTGTGTTTTCATGTCACTCCTGGCTGTTGAAGGAGTTACAGACTGGAGCTTCAGTGAACACACATTGTCCCACTGCTTGATTTAGTGCTGCTCTGCCTCGGCATTTAGAGGAACAAAGAGTTTTTGCCTCCTAAATGGGATTCATCTTCAAAATAATCGTCAGATTTTCTTTCCGTCTTTTGCATTCAAACGGAGCGAAAGACATTTACACTCTTTGCTTTTGTATGTTGCAGCTCTCAACAACATGACTTGGCTTGTACTTTCCCTCCTGCTCCTGCTCGGATGCCAAGATAGGTAAACTGATGCCACTAAATGAAACCTCCTAAAACACTTTACTCATTCACTTGCTCTGGGACAAAAAAAAAAAAAAAAAAACTCTCAGAGATAATTGTACGTATATATTGTGATAAATTCCAGAATGTGTTGCCCTTTCCCACTTATTGATCACTTGTCTGAAATGCTAGAGTGTTAAAAAAAGTTCAAACTAAAATTTTCTGAGTTGAAACCTGCATGTTTATAGTTTTTTATGTCTCCTCCTTAAAAAGAAAGGGAGAAAACAGAGAAAAAGCTGTAAATAAACAAACAAAAAAGGGTCAGTTTCATCTCATAACGCCTTCCCTCTTGCTTTATTTATAAGGAGAGCTCGTTTGTTTGCATTTGAATCACATATCTAAGTGCTAATTATCTCTACTGGTACTTGTAAGCAGCACTTATGTTCAATAATTAATAACAAGTCTGGCCTCGATACGGCTGGCTAATTAATCACAATAACCATGTCACGTTTGACGTCCTGCAGTTTTAACCAACACCATGATCATCTCCCCCCCCCACCACTCCTCCATTTTTCTTTCCTTTTCCTCACCTCCCCACTTCCTTCCTCCCAGTCTTTGCCAGCAGTCGTCGGAAGCTCAGAAAGAGGAGGACACCAACGAGGACAGCACGGTTTTCACCAGGATCCTGGACAGCCTCCTGGACGGCTACGACAACAGGCTCCGCCCGGGACTCGGAGGTTCAGTCACATCCAATGTGTCCATTCGGGCTGAGTAATTCTTTTTGGGCAACAGATTCTGGGGTATAAGCGGCGCCAGTTGACGTAAGGGCGGCCAGTCTCCATCAATCTAGCTGTCGTCACCACAACCAGAATGCAGATCTCTGAGGTGTTTTATTCCTGCTCCTTGCCCTGGCAACAGGAGATAACCTTGAGAGCCAGCAAAATGTCATTCAAAAATGGAGATCTCCCTTTTTTTTATTTTTCCTGAGGGACTTTTGAAATGAGAGCTTTTTATTCCTTCTGTCTCTTAACAGCTTGCTGCTTATTACACTTTTACTCCTAAATTCCCCTGAGCTTTTTTGTGTTGTCCCTCTTCCGTCCCCTGTTAGTGTTCACCTTGTTGCCACGTGCAGACAGAAGTTGTCCAATAATGGAAGGAAACAAGGACATTTTCTTTTTCCGTCTTTCTCTTCACTTTTCTTTATTTATTTTTTTGCAACCGCGATGTGTCACAGCAAAAGGCAGCTCTCAGAGCCTGGTAACGGTTGCTACCCTTGACAAGAGGGCCTAAAAATACATGCCAGAAAAACACAGGCCTCCATTCGGCATTCAACAAGCTGCTCGAAAAACTGTGCAACCAACCGCATTTACAGGCCTACGACCAGATCCAAATTCACAAAAAGACAAAATGCTTCCTGACCTTTTCTCTCTGTTGCTCTTTGGCATTTTTAAACGGTCACATTGTCGCTAAATAACTTACAATTAGCATTCATTTTCAATCCTATTAAAATGTTTGCTTCTTGTACTAACTTGTCTAATTACATGCTTCTCTTGCAATTACATTCTATCCATTCCCCAGAGAATGTGACGGAAATCAAGACGAACATCTTTGTCACCAGCTTCGGTCCCGTGTCCGACACAGAGATGGTGAGTTCTTCCACAGCAAACACTGCAGATGCAAACCCTTTTCATGTTTACAAGTCTGCTAGGGTCCAAACTGTACATAAATTCAGCTAAATATTTTTCAAAGATCGTCTTATCTTCACAGGGCAATTTACTTCCACTTAATAAGACCCAACCTGTCCCTTTAAGATTACAGAAAATTGGTAAGACCGATAGGTTGCCAACCATGAAACCAAAACCTTCAAATTTGACTGAAATCTGCCCATATTGACCGGCTAAATCCCTAGACGTGTGAGAGACTGAAGGCCAGGTTTTCAAACCCAAAGATGTACCAGCTGTCAAGCATGGTGATGACAGAATCCTCAAAAGCTGAATCCAGATCATTTTAATGAACTCGACCAGTTTTGTTAGCACTAACAATCAAATATCTAGCCAGGATTATGTCAGAAGTTTGTTGATGGCCACAAAAATCATGTAACATGACAAATGTATGTAATCTCTTATCCAGACCATCACCGCCTCTTAGTGTCACCACCAACTCCTATAAATTGGTTGGTACCACATGAGGGTGGACCCCTGCTCATGTGGTCGTCCCGTTAAAAAACTTCGGTATCCTACTTACGATATCAGTTCTATAATATTTGGAAATCATGTGATTGTAACTTCTGGGAACTACTTCAGTTCTGCTGCTCCATTCCAATGTGTTCCAAATGATTCACCATTTCCATTAAACCTTTCTCCTTCGAAATACAACATCCTACCTGGACAATGAAAAGCATTAAATCTCCTTTTTCAGGAATTTTTTCCATCACCTCCCTCCCACATCCTTGCACAGTTTTGACACCAAACTCATCAAACTTGCCTTTTTTTTTGCCATAATGAACTCGAAAGAGGCATTGCCACTGTATAATGATTGATTTATAGATTATGGCAGGAGGCTTGAACGTCCCTTCAGTTGCTTAAAGCGTATAAGTCAGCCTGCTAACAGCATCATTATTCTGTCGGCTATTGCGGTCGTTTGTTTTTCAGAGCTTGAAGCGAGCACGCAACTTTTATGACAGATTTATGAAGTGCAGTGTCCAACCTCTGTGTTTCCGGAGCGCTGAAAGTGAAATAGATGCGACAAATTCTGATTCATTTATTTTGCTTGAAAAATTTCTTGACCACCGTTGCTTTTTGTCTCAGGAATACACCATAGACGTGTTCTTTCGTCAAAGCTGGAAGGACGAGCGTCTCTGCTTCAAAGGCCCCATGGAGATGCTCCCATTAAACAACCTGCTGGCCAGCAACATCTGGACTCCTGATACCTTCTTCCTCAACGGCAAGAAGTCCATCGCTCACAACATGACCACACCCAACAAGCTGCTGAGACTGAAGGACGACGGAACCTTGCTCTACACAATGAGGTAGGCCACGACAGAAACGGGTAGGTTCTTTAGGTTTGTAGCATATTTGTTGCAAAAGTCCAAGATGTGGCTACAAGAAGTTAGCCTGAGGACAAACATAAAACAAACAGGCTTTGAATCCACCAGGAATATATCTGAAAGCAAATTTTAGAAAACCAAGCTGAGTGTTTCACACAGAAGGGAAATAGCAGCACCTAGTGGTATTTGTTAGACATTTCCAAAATTCTGGAAAAATAATGAATTCTCCTCTGCTGGGTATTCAGAAAATCTCTAAATAAAGATACATTTGTTGAAATAAACCGATGTGAAAGGCCTTAATGAAGGAAAAACGACAGAGGGGAATAGCTTAGAGTAAAATATCCATTCATTTATGGGAACTAGTAGCAAGGAATAAAAAAAAGTGAATGCATTCTTTACAATAACATGTTTCTTGCAGCTTACATCAGCCACGTACAGAGCCTTGACTGAAACTGAATGGAAAACATTCCCTTAAAAAAATTAGTTCAAAGTTGTGTGCACTTATGCAACAAGATTTCACTATACTTTTCTCAGTTTTTTCCCATTCCCTGCCCTCTGAACTGTTTGTTTTCAGCAGAACTGAACAAGATGTGTGATGCATTTGGATTAAAAGTGAAAAAAAAAAAAAACATCACAAGAAAATGGGCATTTCAACACATTTTTTGAGATTCATTCTAACACAAAAAACATGGAAGACAATTTGTTACAATAAAGTGTTGACCTAAGAAGATAAAGACCAGAGGTGTGGACTTGACTCACATAACCTCGAATTGTGCCAAGCTAGTGATCAATTTAACGATGTTAGACTCAACTTGATGACTTCCTAAAATAATTTGCCCTTGACCTCGAGTTTCAGACCATTGAATTACAACCCTTTCTGTTTGATGCACCAAACAGAAAAGTTGTATCAAAGGAAAAGTGCTGGGTACAAAACTATGGAGCCTTTTCTGTGACCACAAGATTCTGCCTTCATGTGTCATCAGGTAGTTGGGCACAAAGTTGGTGCCAACAGCTGTTATATATGGGATGCCAGATCTACCCAAAATGCTTGACCACTGCGTTGAGAGTGCAAAATGTTTTATGACAGAGCAAATCTTTCTTAAAGTTGCAATAGGAGGGTTTATTTTCTTTGAAAGAAAATGATACAAAAACCCCAATAAAACAAATACAATTTGAAGTTTTCATGTCAAATAGGTGTGCCTACCACATAAAATGTTATACTGAGGTTTAATATGTCAAATGGACTACTTTCAATAGTTCAGTATTAGGTTAGATGACACAATTTTTCTAAAAAATATATCCATTTCTATTGGTTTATTTGTCTAATCACACATGGAAATTTCTATGATGCAAGTAGTTTAGATCAAACACATTTTTGGCTAAAGTAAAAAGTAACATTAGCAGAAGTTTTCAGATGGTTTTATAGTTCACTTTGGTTGTCAGAAAAATATTTTTAAATCATTTAAAATCACTAAATTAACCTGATAAAATTACATAATTGGTGAAATATAAAATTAAAAGTTTAAGACTTTGACTTGAGGACCTTCATGCCTCCACCAGAGACTTGACACAAGACGTAGGTGGAAAGAGTTGAAACCGACTCGTGGCTTGGAAAACAGCCACTTGGTCCCACTTCTCCTGAAAACAAATGTAAGCCCTGCTCTTCAGGTTTCCACATGTTAATGTTTAATGTGACCAGTGAGATGAATAATTTTGCAGGGCATTGTAAAATTCCAGATTTCTGGATTCCGCTTCTTGCTGCACTGCAACCCGACTGACTAGCACATTACAGTCAGCACGACTCGTCTCGCACAAACACACTCCTAGCATCACATCGGTGACAGCTCATGTCCTCCGTCTCCCGAATGTGCCGCTGCCTCATCTAAAAGCCATTACTCACAGGAGAAGCATTTACGGAGCAAATCTGTCTAGTTGTCCCCATCGAAAATTTATAAGTTGCCACTTCTCGCTACGCAATGCAGGCTTGATGCATACCGGTGCAACTACTAGATATCCAGCAACATGAGCAAGTTGTGAGCTTTTATCGTTTGGCAGAACAGAGTCGCTATAGTCATTCACACTTCTGCTGTTTTTTTTTCACATTATCTAACATTTGAGAAGTTCTAACAGTTCTCCTTTTAGCCTGTTCTCACACATGTAGTCTGCAGATTTAAAAATGGGTCGGTTCGTGTGAAAAGACAGATGGTGGCTAACAAAACGCGAGCTCTGGCCCTTTTTTTGTGTCGCTAACTTCTCAACGTTTGCGCGAGATCACATTTTCTTGTCAAATTTTCCTGCGGGTGCGAGAATATCTGTCCGTCTGCTGTTCTGTTACGACTATTCGTCATCTCCAGCCTTTACAGAATCAGAAGACAGAAAAGTGGAACAATTCAGCTTTTGAAGAAACAAATTAGCGCTCACTTTTGAACTCGTAATTGTCATTTCTAAATTTCTTGCAGTTTAGCAAGTTGTTGTTCCTTAAAACGTAGCCCTGTAAGAGATGTCTTTGATAAAGAAATGCAAAGGTTGATAACAATATTGTCTGTTAGGACTAAACGCATTGAGTTGAAAACATTACAAAGGAAGACACCAAAACATTAGAAAATCCAAAGAAATTTTTAAAACTCGGCCACAAAATAAATGCTAAAGTTTTCAAGATTGAATTATTCCCTCATCTTTTTATTTCTTTCTCAACAAGTATGCATTTGCATTATTTTTCTTCATATCAATCAAACCCATATTTTATTTTTCTAGACTTCGAGTGATTCTGTGCTATTTCCATTAATATTGAATTACATCATAAATGTTTCTTCTGCATCAAGGATTCTGTGATTCCCTCTTTTTTCCCTAATTGTTTTTTCCAGCCATTTTTTGATATCAGAATTTTCCTTCAATATCTTAAAATTTCATAATATTTTCTTTAACATTGAGTGATATGATTGTTATTTGTCTGAAGTGGTTCAGTCAAAATCTTGCCTCCTTGTTAAAGCCATTAGTCATTAATTTCTGTCTTATTTTTACACTAAAATAAAATAACTGACTGAATGTTCTAGATTGATTTTATTTGCCCGGGTTGTACCTTAACTTAAAGTCACTAATTTAGTCATCTGCTCTCACCACAATAATGGGACATTGCTCCATGAATAATTAGAACATTGCACGACTGCCGGCAGCCATGTTCTCATTAGTTTATCCCAGAGACCCCCTTTTTCTCTCCGCCAATCAGAACCATCGAGTTGTGTCGGCACGGTAACACAATCTGGGCCCCAAACCAAAGGTAGCTTCTTACCCCACTTTGTTCTTCTTATTGATTTAATGAGAAACCCTCCTGCAGAATATACATGCAGGAGCCATTAGAGAGTAAAAACACATCCCAAGTGGATTTTGAGTCAGAACAGGTTAAGAGAAACAAACAAACAAACAAACAAAAATGCTCTGTAACTAATGTATGCCTTGATGCTGGGGGCAGAAAACAAAACCTTTAATACAATGACTCTTTGTGTTGTGGCTAATTCTCTGTCAGCCACCCCATTAGCTTTAGTGAATCCGCGTCACTATAAACGGCGTATTATTCATCATCATGTAAAGAGCAGAAATACTCTCGGGGATTTAATTCAATCTAGGACAGATCGCTTCTGGGGAATAAAAGGGCAAGAATTACAAGGTGGTGTGCGAATGCTGGATTGAGTTAATCCTGCACCAGCACAATGATCAGATCCGGAATCACTGTGAATGTCACAGGAAGTGTTTTTTTTGTTTGTTTGTTTATTTGTTTGTTTTTAATAGAAAAGGCTCTTTAGTGGATTAAAAATAGTGAGATCTGGCACTGCATAAGATCTCTGATTTTGTCTGCTTAAAAATTGAGAAATATAAAGTTTCAAATGATAAAGCAAATTAATTATACATCTATACTTAGGAGGAAAAGAATGCAGGGATCCTTTTTGACCACTAGATGGAGGTATTACCAGTTTTACAAGGAGAAAACTGCTGCTTTTGCAAGTTCTAGTACTGAGATGTTGGAACAAAATGTTTACATTTCTAACAAAAGCAACATATCCTGGTAAAAAATAAAGGGGGACTTTTGATCAAATCATTTATAGATGAATCTGCTTCTGAGCTCAATCAAAAGATGCATCCTAATAAATAAATACATGTTTATGTATTTGGTCTCAGGTTGACCATCTCAGCAGAATGCCCCATGCAACTGGAGGACTTTCCCATGGACGCCCACGCCTGCCCGCTCAAGTTTGGCAGCTGTGAGTACAATCCCTGCTACAGGCGTCTATATCCATCCCTTTACAGTGATTGGTAATCCCAGATCAATTCCTGTTACGTAATTGCATACTGCAGTCCGGTGCAGCCATTTACATTTAACTTTAGTCCACGGTTGATGTTGATTAACGTCTGACTGTCACATTCAGAGTCGATTTTAAGGCTGGTCGCTGCAGTGCTGAATTATTAGAGTCATGAACTGGCACAAAAAGTGCAAACACTGTCGTAACAGCCAGACTTTTACCCTACCCCCTCTTCACAGAGAAGTTTATTGAGTAATTCAGGGGAAATCGATGGCATAGGCTGAAATATGAACCAAACTTTATCTGGGGTGTGCTGGAATGAAGTTACACTGTCAATACTCAATGCTCCTTTCTTTCCAACAGTCGATAAAATCAAGAGAATAGATTTCCTCAAGTATGTTTAGTGACGAAGGGGGCCATTCAGTTACGTGTCCTCCCTCTGATAGAAATGTGAGAGGCTGTCGGTGGTATTTAAAGACAGCTCGGCCCACACCTCGGGAGTCTGTTAGGCTTAAAGGATGAGGCTCTTTATCCCCAGATCTCAACGATGTGAGCTCCGCCCATCCTCACTATGTCAGATTACACTTTGGAGCTCAATCCAATTACACTGCGAGAAGGTGCTGTGCTGTCCCAGGGTCAGTATCAACCTAATTACCCCCTGGTGCAGAAATGCAGGTGAAAGGTGGAGGAGCATAATAGAAATATTGAGCGGATGGCAAGGCAGAACTATAATTTTACAACGAGAAGGGAGTGTTTCCTGTGACAATTAGTCTGCAGTCACACACCTATCTTGTGGAAGTGCATGGACCTACTGCTCAGTGGCAGAGTAGTGACTTACAGTATCTGGCAATTAAAGCAGGTTAGCTCAGGTGAAGGGCTGCTAATCCCCCTACTCTGCCCCACTTGCTTAACATAACTGCTGGGCTGCAAGGGCTCACTTTTCAGATCTACGCAGACAAGTTGGAGATATAAATGAAGAATGCAATTTCTGCAGCATATGTGCAGTGACTAAAATGCAGTCCTGGGATAGTAAATATACCCTGTCTTGTTCTGCAAGATTTAGTCAGGAAAGTGGAAGCTGCTAATTAAATTGCAAGTGATAAATTGATCATCAAGTGTCACTACTGCAAAAAAAAAAAAAGTTTTGGCAAACTTACTGGTGTGTGATAAATTGATGTCAAGAGAGAATTGCAATGATTTTAGAGAAGCAATCAATGAAGGTTGCAATGACTTGCATGATGCATGATGGTTGCTAGTTGGTTTGGAGCTAACTGGTGTATTTTAATGCAATGCCAAAGGAGAACAAAAACAGAAATTATCCTACAGATGCAATTGTCGCTCCCAATCAAGCTAGGATGGATTGTTTGTAACCAAAAGTATAGAAGGGGTACATTTGATCTCATATGTCCAACAGTCCAAGTTTTACTGAAACTGGATCATCAGCAGGACAATTTTCAAACAGCAGCAAACCTGAATGACTGGACAATAGAAGAATTTATTGGGGAAAGAGTCTATGGAGAGACTGGAAGAGTTGCAGGAAGGCATAGAAGTGGAAATCCTTAGGTCACATCCCATAAAATGACATTCATTTTGGGCGGAACAGCATTTTCTGTGTGCTAGATGACCTGCAAGGGTACCTGACCACACCACAAGACAAAGGGCGCCATCGTCTAGCTTGGGTCATTTACGCTGGACAAGAGATCAGAGTGCCTCAGTGTTGTTCACTCATGATAGTTGAGCAGAAATGATGGCCACCAAAGATGTTTGAGACATCAAGGAGACTGCTATGCATCAGCCACTGTTGTCACCAGATGAACCTTTTGTAGTAGTGTTAGTGTTACAGTGTGGGCAGGTAACTACTCAACATAAAACTGCCCTATACTTTGTCAAGCTCATAGTTCCTGAAAAACATCGTCACCCTCTATGAACAACACAGCCCTAACGTCATCTTCATAGATGACAATGATCCAGCTCAACAAAGTCACATAATTATTGAACGGATACTGGAGACTGTATGACTCTCTGAGACTTGAATCTCATAGAAAATGTGTGGGATCAACTGAGTCGCAATGTAGAGGTTTGCAATCCTGTATCCCAGAACATCATGACCCGAGGGGCCATCCGTCAAGAAGAAGTGGATGCCACACCTCAGCAGGCAGACAATATGATGACTTATGAACAGCATAAGATGTCTTTGTCAAGCTGTGATTGATGCTCAGTGCCGTATGACACATTATTTAGATGTTAACAATTGTTGTTGGGTTTTGTTTCCATACATTATTAGGGATGAGGATATTACCATTCCATGCATCGACTTAAATACCCTACTTTCCTGTTATAACTATAATGTGAATTTTTCACTCAGTTCACAAAACTTTGACTTAGTCTGGAGCTGTGCTCCTTCGTATCATTAAACATTGCCAACAGCTAAACTCGGTGCATTCACTTACTGTAGGAGGTGATGAGTTTGGCCGAGTTGTAGCTCCCTGTGCCTCATGCAGTGAGGCAGGAACAGCATCGCATTAAGTGTTGAGAAGTTGGCAAAGGTGGACTGTTGGGCCTGCCAAAGCCTTTAGGTCTTCGTTTGCATAATGAAATTCACCAATAATCCCTTTTTGCAATCTCCCCTTTCACTTAAGGTTGCGGTCTTTAGCCTGTCAGTCATTAAATTTAACCAGGCAGTCAACAGCTGCATGTAGCTGCCAAGTGAGCACCCAGGTTGGAAGCGCAAGGTTAGCATCCTATTTGCCCTCATGAGAGGCAGCGGTGTGAAAAGCTGTTCACACTAAGATTATACGACATAATCAGTTTTAGATCCTGACACAGACAAGACTACTCTGAAACCTTCACTTTGTTGTTTTAAGAGATTGCTTTTCTCAATTATGGCAAATTGTTAAGGTTCTGAATGAACAAAACAGCTCCATACATTACACTACCATCGCCATGTTTGACTTTCCAGATGTAACAGGAGCCACTGTCTGAGCCTTTCATGCCATTAGATTTGCAGTTGACAATGTCCAAAAAAGTTCTTAAAACAATCCACTCTAAAGAGAATTGCAGAATCTTTAGGAAACAGACAGCACCAGGTGATATACACCCTTTGTTTCTCTCTGACCTACCTGGTGTTTTTATTGTCGGAAACCTCAATCTTAAACTCAGCTTTTACTTAAATTAACATCTGAGATCGTACTGCTAAAAGAAAATAATAAGTTGTATTAGTTTTACATCTTTAGTTATATTTGCACAACTGATATATATACCAGTTGTGCAACGCGTCAAATCTGACGGTGTTGTCTTTGCTAACAAGGGAAACAACCTCCTGACCCAAAATTACTGGCCACACAAACACAACACGGTCACACTAGAAATCCCCAAGTTTTCCTAAGCAGAACATTTTGTTTTCAGTAAAAGCTGTGGGAAAACCTTTTCCTTGCATATTCAGTTATCTCAGCAGGTCCGTGCTTAAAGTTTGTCTCTGTCTCTCAGATGCCTATCCAGTATCAGAGGTGGTCTACACATGGACTCAAGGAGCTGCTAAGTCTGTCGTGGTGGCAGAAGACGGTTCCAGGCTCAACCAGTACCATCTTATTGGACAAACAGCTGACACAGAGGACATACGCACCAGCAGAGGTGGGCAAGGGTGTTTAAACATATGAGAATTGTGATATAGTGAGATATTAATGACTTAAGCTTTATCTCAGGTATTTCTTGATCTGCAGTTCATGGATTTACTTTTTGACAGTGCGGGGCTGGTTTAAAAAGTTTTACTCATGGCTGTTCAGAGTGAATGATGAGTGCAGACAAACAGTACCACGACTCAGTGAGTGGATGCCAGTGGAGGAGAGTAGCATATCCGTCACACAACCAGCTGTCTACAGGGCCGGACAGGCCTGTCATACAACACTTATCCCCGCATGAGCTGATGCGTGCACACATGGCCACACGAACAGACACTGAGCTGGAGAGACCTGAGACCAAGGGTTAATCCTCCCCTAACATCCCTCCAACCAGCCATCAGCCTTTGCATAAGAAGATGACATCACAAATCAGTGAGAGATTGGTTGGGTGGCTGTCACTGAGTGGATCTGCGTGAATACATTTATCTCTGTGAACACCAGATGTCCCCACAGCGATAGATAGAAACATACAAAAGAGGTCATGAACCTGGGTGTTTCTCTGGGCGGTTTAGGTTTACAGCTAGCGTCGTGGAAAAGCGTAAGGTTAGCTTTTACCGAATCATGAGTGGAGATGCATTTCACAGAGGGAAAAACATTCTCTGATCATAAGTTCTCACAAAGATGGAGCGAGGAATGTCTGTGTGTTGAACCGGGCAGACGTGTGGAGGTTGAGGGCGGCTGAAACGCAACTGTTTAATACTCTTATGTAAAGTGGAACTGTGCACTTCCCTTTGGTTTCTAGTGGAGTGTTTATTGAAAATCTGGATTTCCCCTGCATGAGTGTTTTTTTTTTATACAACATAAGTCATTTTGCTTGTTTGTTTGGTAAAGGTTACTGGAATAAATTTAGTTACTGCTCTCCATCATTTGACACTTTATTAGCATTAGCATTAGCTTAACTACATGTTTCTATTTCTTTGTAAGAACCAGAAAAATGTTGGGGGGGTTTATTTGTGTTTCTTAAATACATATTACTGAATGGACTGAATTAGTTGTTTCTATTCAAAAATAAATGAACTAGACTTACTCAACCCAACACACTGCATCTTTACATACTATAAAGTAGACGACATCACTGTGACCTATCTTGAAGATATTATTGTTGAATAAAAAGATAAAGAACAAATTTAAAAGTAAGACATTTCCTGTTAACCCTTGGTCTCTCAAGATGTCAAGAAACATCTTGAGAGAAAGTTAATTCAATTTCTGGTTCAACTGTGACTCATGAGAGAATTCATTTGCACTTGGTGCTTCCTGCTGACCTGGAGGAACTCAGTAGTGGTTCAGTTTGATTTCCTTTATCATCACAATAAAGAAAAGGGACAGATTTTTAACAGGGTACCCAAAACTTTAAACGCAAACCATATTTTCCCCAGTTAGATGGCTTTAATTGCAATAAATATAGCATCATATCAAATAGATCAAATTTGACCTATTTGAAAGAATGCATCTAGATTCAAACACTGGAAAGCTTACATTTCTGACTAGAAGTTCATCCAAAGTTATATAGGGAGCAGATTATTTAGCATTGTGTAAACTTACAATGGAGTCTTTATCAGTTGTTAAGGACCTTTTACAGGTGGATAAATACAAAATTGACAGTAGAATGACCAAATTTGCTTTTTGTTTTATTTTATTTTTTTTACTTATGCCAGAAGTTGTTGATAATATAGTGGTTTATCAACAACCATATGTTCCATCTGCAAAATATTATCAGAAAAACAGATACTTATAGGGACTAAAGGCAGAAAAATCATCATTCATGCAACCAAAGGTTCTGTCTGGAAGTCGTCCAAGTCAGTGGTGGATATTGCCGGTGGGTTTGAACTGTAGGGTCATATAGGTCCAGTCCAGTAGGTTAAGTCATTTTGGTCAGCGTTTATGAGTAACTTTTACAGTCAAATATGACATTTTAAACCTGCCAGACCTAATCTGCGCGTTTTGACCTGTCTGAGAAAGTAGTAGGTGTTCAAAGCGAACACAAAGAGCGGCGGTAAAGTTGAAATTTCCACCGAATTTCCCATCTAGAGACACCAACACTTTCCTAAGGGAGGAAGGTGTTGGTATCTCATTTCAAAGTAATCTTTTCTTGATTTCCTTTGTTCATCATGGCAACAAGCAATGAGGAAGGCTGTCACAGCAAAAGGAAATGAACACTGCCATTAAAGGTAAAGGGAGTTCAGTAAATTTGCAGAAAAGGCGTGCCATCGACAGTAGTTTACTGTTGCTGCTCCGCTCTATTTAGAGGAGCCCAGCGGCCGCCTGCTGTTTCATTTAGTTCAGATAAAAACACCAAATCACTCGTTCTAGTGAAGTTCAAAGCAGCGAACGGTTAATGATTGTTTTGACTTTCTGATGTTCTAACCTCTGACAACTTCATGGTTCAAAAACCTTCCTGGGCTCTAGCTGAAAGGTTTGGTCCAGTAACTGTTTCATTGGACCAGACTGTCACTATGTTGAAGAAGTTTTTAGAAAAATATGATATTTAATTTGCCTTCAAATCCTCTTGTAAACTTTCGCTTGAGTTTGGTAAGAAAGGATCCTCTTTCAAGTTTGTAGCTTAGTGCTTTGGATGGATGTGACGGTGTTAGACTTTAAGTAGCACATCTAATTTTAGACTATACACCTATTTGAGAGCATGAAAGAGGAGATTAGTCCATGAGTTTGTCTTTAGATAGTTGACATCTCTAAGGACACAGTGCGTTCTGCCTCAGATAGCAATATCTTTCCCTAAATAACACTACGGTAAAGATGCTGTACCTTTCTCTTGGGCTTCATTTTTAGAAGATAAGCCCTACCTTAAAGGTCTTTGTATAACAAAGGAACTTACAAGTTGACCAGCATTGCAGCGTTGTTCCCCAACATGAAAGGAAGTTCCCCTTGGACGTTGTTGAATACAAATCCTTGGGAGAGAAGGAGTAACATCCAGCAGTGGAACATGTTCCTCATCAACCCTTCCCAGTACAGATCCATGCATCAATGGTGAAGGTGCCCAGAATCTTCACGACAGGAGCAGAAGGTGATTGGGGGGTTGCAAGAGAGCCAGCCTGGGGTCATGAAGGCGTCGGAAGGCCCGGGTGGGGATGCTCGGGTTGTCCCAACTGAGGCATCGCAAAGACCAAGGTTGCTATGAGATGGAAGTGACGGACAAAAAGCAACAGACCTCCGTCATTTGACAGCTGCAACAAATGCTTCCTTTTTCCCTCGCATGGCAACCAATCCCGTCAAGAATCATTAATCCACAAAAAGCTGCCAAATTAAAACAGGGGGGTGGGGGGAAATCGGTAGGATGAAAAGGAAAAGACAGGGAAGACCCACAAAGCTAGCCCCCCTCCATCCCAGCAATGATTAGCAGCAGCAATCGTCCTTCCTCTTCCGCAGCTTAAAGTCTGTGCTGAGGTGTGTGTCAACAGTTGGAAATCATGCTTCGTGTGTATGTGTGTGTCACCGCCGTGATTGGCAGGGCACAGATTGGGCGGGGCTTCATCGAGGATCCCAGGACAGGAAACCTAACCCCCCTTCCTCCTCTTTCCGTCTCATTCCCTCTATTCCTCTCACTGATGGCAGGATGCAGATTGTAACCAGGGATTAGAGAGGTTCAAAAATCGGATTTTGCCCCAGAGAAAGCCTCGTCTATTACTCTGTGTACGGTGTGTGTGTGGGAGAGAAAGAGATGGACTGGATTTTTCATAGCTTCCCAGCGCCTGCAGTCATAAACAGCTGACGGCGAGAGGATTTTTCATTCTTTAAAGCTTCAAATTCAATATCGTGTCCCTCTCTTTCTCTTCCCCTACACTTCCTCTCTCGCCCAACTTACCTCCATCTGCCCTCACCGGCTGCCAAAGATCCAACATTAACCGCATAACAATCTGTTCCCATAGTAATTAACGCCACTTGTGCTCATTGATTCACTTTAATAGTCAATCCAAAGTGTGTTTACTTTCACCATTATGCTCTGTTGAATATGGAATGCCCTGTCTCATCCCGCTCCATAGATTTCTTTTACACTACTCTGCACATATCAGGACCTTTTTATTATGTCCATAAAGAAAATAAGGTTTCAGAATGAGAGGGTTTTGACAGTGCAACATGACATCATTTCTTAACTCAAATAAATTTATTGTCAAGATATTTCACACAAAAACTTTCAAGCAATCTAAACTGTGTTGAACAATTCATTTCTACATACAGTGCATCTCAAAAGAGTGATGTACAAATGCAAAAAATAAATTAATTAAGATGAACCATAGTGGTAGCAGTATCATGACCTGGGGTTACTTCTCCTCAGATGACACTGGTGCATCTTAAACTGGGGTTTCAGAAAATCAAAATTTGGCAACAGCCTAGTCAAAGCACATAAATAAATCTTACAAGAAATGTGTGGGGACTCTGAAAAAGAGGAATTTGGACTAGAGATTTGCTCAGTATGTGGCCGATTTGGAAAAGTTTCTTCAAAAGTCATCCTTTTGTTTAGCACCCCCACATGGTGAGATAATGTCATAGCATAGGGAATTTATATTAAGGAGCAGCAATTTAATTCTTCATTTCTCCAAAGATTAACAATATTTAGCCAAATACAGTTTATTTGATTTTACCATCAGTTTATATATAAACAGTAAGATAATTAACTATGTAAATAATGCTCACTCAAAGTTTGCTTTCCATAAAGAAGATTTATAGTATTTTACAGATGATATATTGCATCTTACCTCCAAAAGTCATTGTGTGGTTTATTTTGAGGCACTTAAATTTCATCAAAATGCTCCATCTTACTCACTAACCTTATATTCTTCCTCTCTCCGTCTCTTCTCTCTCTACTCAGGACAATACACTGTGATGATGGCACACTTCTATCTGAAGAGGAAGATCGGATATTTTGTCATCCAGACGTACATGCCATGTTTCATGACCGTAATCCTGTCCCAGGTGTCGTTTTGGCTCAACAGAGAGTCTGTTCCCGCGCGGACCGTGTTTGGTGAGTGAAACATTTCCCCCACGCTTTCTCCATCTCGCCTTTGAGTGATGCATTTAGACGTAACGCGACTTTTGTTTGCTTCCAGGGGTGACTACGGTGCTGACTATGACCACACTCAGCATCAGCGCCAGAAACTCGCTTCCGAAAGTAGCCTACGCAACAGCCATGGACTGGTTCATTGCTGTCTGCTACGCTTTCGTCTTTTCAGCTCTTATCGAGTTTGCCACAGTGAACTACTTCACCAAAAGGAGCTGGGCCTGGGATGGCAAGAAAGCTCTGGAAGCACAGCACCCTAAGGTAACATCTACCAGACCATTTTTATGCTAATTGTTTCTACCATTTCACACTAGTAGCAGAAATGCTAAGTAAAACTGTGGAAGCTAATTGTTGTAATCTGTCCCGCCACAGAAACGAGACCCAATGGTGCTCTCAAAAAAGGCCAACAACGTTTGCTCAGCAGGCGTCAACTACACCCCCAATCTCACCAAGGACGTGTCCATCTCCACCATCTCCAATACGACGTCGGTGCAGCTGCGGGGCTCAGAGAGCAAACTGGTGGACCCCAAAAAGACGTACAACAGCGTCAGCAAGATCGACAAGATGTCGCGAATAGTGTTCCCCGTCCTCTTCGGAACCTTCAACCTCGTCTACTGGGCCACGTACCTGAACAGAGAACCGATGGTGAAAGGAGTCGTCGCTTCCACATAATCGCTTTTTTTTGTTTGTTTGTTTGTTTGTTTGTTTTTGTGCGGGGTTTATTCTTTCCGAAACTGAATTTGTGTAAAAGTAGAAAGGGTTTGATCCCAATCAACCTCTGCTTTAGAAAAAGAAAATTGAAAAAGCAAATATCTGCGCTTGAAGAACAAAGAAACACCTATCTAATTCAGGCAATCTGAATAGCTGCAAGAGGTTGCCTTTCCTTTTCTTGAGGCCTAAAAAACTCTGCTTGGTAATGAAGAAACTGCTTTAAAGAAACAGGAGAGCGGCGGCTTTGCTTCCTTCTCGTCTATCCTGCTGCAGTTTGCATGACATTCTCTTTAACTGGAAACTGTGGACTCCTTTGTCTTAAATACTGATATGTCATCTCTTAAAGTGCAGAGGCTCACTTAGTTTGGATTAGAAAGCTGATTTGAAGAGTAAGCAATGCTGCGAGTATATTAGTTTAGCTTTTTTTTTTTTGCCATTCATGTGATGTTATGTTCCATTGTACTGCTTCAAAACCTTTAGGCTCAAGCCTAGAATCCCAAAAGTGAGAAAAACTCATTAGGAAACCCGAGAGTTAAATACAAGTCCTCAATATTTACATAAAATCTTAGTAAAGCTACATATAGAACAAGAGTATCTGCACATCTTTTGCCTAAAAGGTGAAAACATAGCCATGAGTGACGTGTTAGCACACTTCTGGGACTGGGTATATGTGATTTAAATTAAATTTTAAACCCTGCTAACTCAGCCGTGAAACTAATATACACAGCTGAGAAGCCAGTTACCTGAAAAGCAGCGTGTCACATACAAATCAGCGGAGTGATGTGGAGCGTTCCAAGACTGTGATTCTGTGAAGTGACCTGGATTCAAGAAGTCTTTTAAGCATCCTTGAGCAAAACACTGTGGCGCTAAAAGCTCCAGGAGGTTTTACTTTCAGTTTGACTGCAGCTAAAAATAACAGCCGACTCTTCACCGTTGTACAAGTAGATCATCAAGTAGGACAAATTTGGGTTTGACTTTTAATTAATTGTGCATTTGTAAACCCTAATCTGCCCTGACAAACCAGTGTAAAATGTTTCAAGAGTTACAGCAGGAGAGAACTGTAAACAGACAAAATAGCCTTTAAATATCTCAAGAGTTTTTAGGTCAAGCTTTATGAATGTGACCTCTTACTTTATTTTTACACATCTATCTCCCATTATAGAGTTGTCAGTCTCTGGGTTGGTTTTACAAACAACTTGCATCTAAAAAACAATTTTTTAAATATTTTTCAGTCACCTCTTAAGCAATGTAAAAATAAATTGGTTCAAATGGCCTAAAACTAAGTGGCTGTGCATCGTTTCAGAGGGAAATTAGAAAAAGCTTAAGTGCATTTCAAGGACATTGAGTCATACCAGGTGCTTTGTCTTATTCTGACTACAGTTATTCATTTTTGCCTCTGTTACAACTACTTAAATATATTGAAAGGCAATTCATCAAAATTAGCTCAACACAATCTTTAGTGTTTGTTTTGTTTCAGTGGAGTAATGAACCCAATGTGATTACTCTTCTAACGTAAAACAGGCCTCTTTACTAGCTAACTAGATATTAAGCTTCTCAGCTCAGCTGCTAAATCGTAGATAAAATCAGTTTTTAAAGACGTTCTCTGTGCCTGACGATGTACAAATCAAATATATATTTTTTATTTCTCATCCTTTAACATGTGCGAGTAAAACATAACACCGTAGCTACGTTCCTCCATTTCTGTTTTCTGTCACAGATCTCAGTCTGCTGAAAGCAAGCTCCTCAAAACTGATTGTGTTTTCTCTGTATGCTCTTCCTTTTCTAGCAACATAATGAATGTATTTAAAATTGACCATTTTTATTCAATAGGTTATATAAAAGATAGTAAAAAAAAAGGCCTTCTTACTAGCTAGCGATTTAGGAAGCTCACAGCTGCTTACAGTTTGATAAAGTCTGTTTTATAAAGGGGTTCTTTGTGCCTGACTTTCTAAATATCCTCTATTTTCTATTTTAAATGTCATCCTCTGACATAAAAGAGTAGAAGCTAAGAGCTTGTCGTTTTATATTTGTTGCCATTTTTATGTTCAGTCTGCTAAAGGAACATACATTACATTTCATTTTGAGAAAAGCAAACATTTTTTGCTACAAATTTATGCTTAAAAACCATTCATTGATGTTTTTAGGCAGTTGTTTTATTGAAACATGTACGTAGAAGTTTTAGTTTTTCAAGTTTGCATTCCTAGTCATTCACAAGAAGAAGAAAAAAACAAAAAGAAAGTCCAATGCTGGACTTTGAAATGTTTAGGCGTATGCTCGTCTTGTATCTTTTCCCTCAAGTTTTGTGTGCTTTTGCTTCACTCTGTTCTGGATGTTTGTGAAACAAAAACAAACATTTGAGCTTTTTGCGTATTTTCTCTTCTAACTGAGTCAAACCAGAGGCTGTGTGAGCAGAGGTGTGGGGTTAAGGCCGAGGACCAGGTTCTGTGTTGGGACACTCAGGAACCAAAGGAGCAACGTTTGCAGCCAACAGGATGCCTCTCAGTCTGCGCTTCTTGAACCACATCATATCGACGACTGTAGACTTTATTGGCCATTTTCTTGGTGGACTTCAGGGCAGAAATATTCTATGCGAGTCTGTAAAGGAGCAACTAGCAAACTCATGTACAAACTCATCTGATGACCATTTCTCATTCCTTTTCCTAAACAAATGGGCCCCATAAAAATTGTTGCCTGACAACATCATAACCAGTTTCCTTCCTACAAATTGCCAACTTCTATTAAATCTACATTTAATAAAGACAATTGTATGATGTTGTGACAGATAAAAGCTTAGATCCTGACAGAATGCGTACTTTCTTTTTGACAATAGCTACTTTGCCAATCAGCTCCTACAGTGTCATATTTGCTTCGTGAACCTAAAGTAAACAACATCAGACCTGCTTGTTTAAAGTGCTTAAAGTGACGTGACATGTGGCAGGACTGATGCATTCTGGTGAGCCGCCGCTTCTGGATACTCAAAGTGTTGCTGTCTTGTCAGCGGCGCTGAAGTCTCTATGCTTGTTAGGGTGAAAGGAAGTGGAATGAAATGCGGCTGAAGGTTGACACGTCCGTCTGACTGTCCGGCCCGGGTCGACATGGCAGCCGAGGGAAGATTAGTGGCGCGGACAAGCTCCCGGGGAACAACCTCTGTCTCTGTGCATCTCTTCACACGGTAGTGAGTCTTTCAGATTGCTTGCTGGGTTGATTTGTAGAGCTATAATAAGCATCTTGGGTTCAGTTTATGAAATCTGATGATAACCGTTGTGTTCCTATGGTTATTTTCCCCGACTGCCTTCTCAAAAGCAGCATTTATTCTCACTGCAGGAGCACCCATCGACCTATCCATCCATTCAACCTTCCTTCGCACTATTGTTAGCCAAGAAACACCCGCCTGCCCCTCACATCTTCCTCCAGCCTCTGTCACAGACTCATCTGCCATACATCTGCTAGAAAAGGGATTTAGTTCCGCTTAAGTTGCTTTCATTCGGTCAGGGGGGCCCCTTACAGCAAAACACTTTTCTCTGGTTTAAGCCCCGAGCGGCACCCAATCCTGATGACAACTGCTTGTTTTTCTCAGTTTGGAGTCTGGACAGATTTGTACGCGTTCTGGGGCAAACGCTGGATTGATTATGTGCACTTCATCCAATGCTAGCTCATGGGTAGTGAGGCAGGCTGAAGTTCTGGAGCTCTCATTTATGACTGCAACAGTTGTCTCTACTACAAACAGACATTCTTCTGCATGTAAAAAGAAAAAAAAAATTAATCTCTGAGGCAATTGTAAAAAAATTTTATTTGCCCGATATTTTTTGCAAAATTGCAGCAAAGGTATGGTAGCTGATTCTCTGCCACTCTTTTTTTTGTTTCTTTTGTCTTCTGTATTTGTCTTACACAAAAAAGGGGATCAATAAAGATACTGTATAATACACCTCCATGTATTAAAGCACTGCTGTAGCTCAACTGTGACTTCATTAAACCCTGATTAAAGCTGCTAATATGGGAAGCAAATCGGACATTAACACTTGTTCGCGGTATTGATCCGATTCTCTGCTGATGTACGCGGCTTGTTACATACTGTGGATCTTCCATCAGCGTCTCCAGAGCGGATTGATTTAGTTTGTTTTCTCCTGCCATTCGGAGTGGAATTTTTCTGAAGCTCCGACAATTAGCTGCAAGGCTGTATTTGATGAAGAATAAAAACTCTGTTGAATTTACTGGAACACCATGCGCTTTTTGTCGGCACAATTTGATTTCGTCGTGCTTAGTTTATGCAGTTTCATCATGGGGATGAATCCTATAGTCATTCAAAATTACTGAAATGTTATCTTGTCAAGACGCCAAGACACTAGACCACACAGATTTGAGTTTTAAGAACATCTAGAAGTTGATTTGAGGTGAAATTGATGAAACTGGAGTAGTATTGCTTTCTCTCAAAGCCTCAAACATACTCAATCTTCGTCTTATTTGATCATAAAACCTCTGTTGAAGGAAATTCATTAGTTCAAACGCCTGGAAATGTCAGTGAATATACATGTACATTTATACATATTTAAAAATATATCCAAGTGCTTAAAATAGACAAACTTTAAGAGCATGTCTCAGAAGGTAAATCCCAAACCCTGTTAGAAAATAATGTGCAATTATAGCATTTCTGGTCCAAAGCTCTCCACTCCACTTGGGAGTCTAGATATCTATATATCCAATTACAGTGCTTTGCAGAAACAAAGTTCAGTTCATGTTTTTGGGATTTACTGTGAGAAACCACAACAAAGACGTACATTATTAAGGAGGAAAAACTCACACCGTTTGTAAATTCAGCACCGGCATACTAATAAATAAAACCCATGGCAACCAGTTGTCTAGAAGTCACATATATTTAAATTGGTTTTTGTGACATAGAAGAGATATTCAAAGGAAAAAAACCTTTTGAAAACAGTTATCTTAGGCCAAAAGCGATCAGATTACTTCACAATTCAATTCTGTAACTGTAGACTACATATTATATTACTGCAGCAGTTATTTAATAAAATATTTATCTGTAAAAAAGTTGTTTTTCATATGCAGTGTGCATTTCTGTTCAAACACCTCAGCGCTCTAATAATTCATCATTCCTGCAGGTTAGAAAACCTACAGCGACAGTAACAAAAAAAAAAAATTATTGCTCGTTGTCGTTCATATTTTACCCACCAGGGGGCAACAAAGTCTCTCTACTCGCGCTGAAGTGTTGCGCTCGTTCAGACATGACTTCATGAAGTCCAACTTCAAGCAAACTGCAAACATCAGAGCAAACAAATGGCACAACTTCGGTAAAACTGCGCCTGTCTAGTTTCATTTTTTTATTTTCTCTTTTTTAAAAGAAAAAAAAAAGAGGTTCGGGGTTTAAAATTATTTTGCAAATTCGCAGGGGTGTTTACGCGCGCAGAAGGGGGGGTACATTAATCACGCTCATGACGTCTCCGGTTTTCATCTGGATAGTGACACCCAGGTAGTGCGCGCGGAGCAAATGAGTCACGCAGTCGCTGATAAAGGTCCTCCGGCGGCAGACAGCGTCACCCCTCCAACCGGTGTGTTGGCCCCCACAGGCGCTACAGCGGGTAGGGAGGAGGGAGTTGGCCCCTTCCTCCTCTTATTTCCACCTCATCCCGCCGGACTCATCACCCGTCCTGATTGATCGTCGGGTGTCTTCCCGGAGGAAGCCCTCCTGCGAGGAGCGAGGAGGACCGCGCGCGGGGGCACAGACTGCGTGGGCGAATGAGGGAGTTCGGATGCGGGATTGATGGGCACACACCTCCTGCACGCGGCAGCAGCAGCAGCAGAGGCAGCAGCAGCAGCGGCGCGCGCCGGGGTCCCCGTCCAGCAGTTCCCGCAAGCAGAGCTGCCTTCCGCCCGTGGGAAAATGACAGTCAGGCTCGCGGTCACCCTCTTCACACTTCTTCTGCTCACCCAGGATGCTCGGTGAGTCCTTTCTGCTTCCAACTGATCAACAGCTGGGGGGAAAAGTTAGCTAAATGAGGCCAATTGCGCATTTTCTGTCTCAGGGCTTCCCCCATATAAACAAACAAGAAAAAAAAAAAAAAAGGTCTGAAAAACCTTTTCACCTGGTTATACTCAATTATGCGCATCGCTGTTTGTCGTGTTTTTACGACTGCGACAAAAGTTTTTATTCCAGAAATAATAATAATAATAATAAAAAAAAACAATCTCATTTTGTTTCATTCATATATGTTATTTATTTATTTTCCCTTACCCCCATTTCAGTTCTGACTTACTGGAATATGGCGACGACGAGGAGGACCTCCACGACACCACCGTCAACCAGATGCTGGTGCCCAGGTCGCACCAGGAGGACGCCACGCTCATCCTCAACAACCTGCTGAGGGAGTACGACAAGACCCTGCGGCCGGACATTGGGGGTAAGAGCGGCATGGGAAAAGTTGGATACTGATATTTCTGGAAGGTGGAGCACACACCCACCTGCACCACCACCTACCTACCTTTAGGCTTAGCTCCTCTTCAGTGATCCTGATCCTTAGACTTCTTTGATGACCATAAGACAAACGTGGACATAATGGTCTTAAATTATTCACGATAAAGCCTCATTTGAATCATTTACTTTCAAGCCATCGATAAAACTTGTATGGAATCCCTGAAAAACAAGTAAAAATAAAATCAATGATGCATTTTATCACCACCTTGAAACCGTTTCAGCTGTTGAAACCAGTTTTGATATCCTTATTGTAAACAAAGCAATATATATATATATATATATATATATATATATATATATATATATATATATATATATATATATTATTGTGATTATTGGTCTGATCAATGGAATCTTTGTCTCAAACCAAATCTTGAATTCTTAATATTCTTTTATTTCTGAAAGAAAAAAATATCCACTAACTGCAACTTTTTTTTATTTTTTTTATTGTTGTCATATATTTGTCTGCCACAAGGGGCAGGAGTGAGCCATTTTCCCTTGAAGCTATGGGTGTATACAACATATGTATTATTCCCCCATCCATCTATTGTCTTCTGCTGATCCCACTGGTTGTTGGGGGCAACAGGTCTAAGAGGAAAATGCGGACATTCGCCTCCCACTCTCGAGTACTCATGGGGAATTCCTTGGCTGGTAGGGATATATACTCTCTCCAGGAAGTTTGGGATCTATCACAGGATCCCCTAAGTGGAACATGGGTGAAAAACGTCCAAAGGGAGATGCCCGAACCACGGCGACTAACTTCTTTAGATGTGAAGGAGTAAAGGTGTTTCTTTGAGTTACTCCTGGGTGCCTGAGCTTCAAACCTTGCCTCTAAGGTTCAGTCCAGCCAACCTGCCGTGGAATGTCAATTTAGCCACTTGCATCTGGGATCCTACTCTTCTGGACATAATCCATATCTTGGAGATTCTATCCATGAACTCAAAAAAAGGGATTCGTGATGAAGGACAGCCCTGGCAGAGCCCAACCACCTTTTCTCCAAGAATATAAAGGAATGGCTGGGTTGGACATGCATTAATCCACCTAACACGAGTAGAACGGACAACCAAACCTTCGTAGCTCTCTCAGGAACTTCGTCAGAGGAATGATTTTGATGATTGGACAGAGTTTTCTTTCCAACCACCCTCCTTGAACATCTCCACAGGGACTAGGAAGAGTGACAACTGTAAAGTTGGAGCACAGTCTCTGGTTCCCCTCAATAAAAATGATGACCAACACTCTGGTCCACCACTCCACAGCCCCTGTGATCTGGAAGAGGCATGTCTGGACAACCCCACAACATCCAGAGCCTTTAGCACCTTGGGCTATACGTAGTCCAACCCAACCCAGCTTTGTATTTACTGTAGCTATGTCTTCAATGGCTACTTTATCCTGGCCCAAAATTGTGAGTGAATTAAGGACCCAGATTCAACATCCTGAATCTGGGTCTACCGTTTCTGCATCTCCCAAACCATATCTGAGATTGCATATCAAAATGTCCGACACAAACCTTGGTGGTGGTATTTAGAAGACACTGAGGTGATGCTACCTCAGCATGCTACCAAAGTCACTCATGGGTAGTGGTTCATTTTACTGCCTCTTGTGGTAGAAAAGGGCAAATGAAAGAATAATCTCTTTACCCTTGAGAGGTCATTTCAAAAATATTGAAAAAGATATTTTTTTTTCACTTGCTGATTTGTTTTACAATTGCAATATAATGGAATTTTTTTTACAATTACCAATCAAATATGGCAACATAATCCAAAATTAGAAACTTCTAAGCTTTGAAACATGGTTCAATAACTAATAATCTTCAATTTCAAATGACAGCACAGTCATTTTTTTCTGAATTTCACCCGAAGGAATCTCCAGTCTTTGTCTTGCGTTTAGCAGAGCCTGCAGAGAACCTGAAAGACTCAAATGCAGCAGATGAGAAAGCGAATAATTCACTTCATAATCCAATGAAAGGAAATTAGAATGAGAGAACCATTTTAGCACAGGAGCATTAAAATAAGTTGAATGTTTGTAAAACAGGTTGTAAATAGAGCTGATTAGCTGTGGTGTCACTTCAAAGTTCATTTCTGTCCCACACTGATACTAACCAGTGTGGGACAATTTATCCCAAAGGGCAATTAAACATATTTTTACAAATAAAAACCCTCTTGAAAACCAGACTCCGGCGGTCTTCTCCTCCAGTCTCAGTCTGAAACTCATCAAACGGCTTTGTGCCGTTTTCGCAGGGAGAGAAGCAGAGTTGGCAACGTCCAGTTCAAATCCTCCGCTGATTGCACTCGCGTCGTTTCCACCATGTTTGCAATGCAATCACTGCTCTGAGCTTCTCTGAGGCCTTTCTAATCAAAACCGGTTACTGGTTTGATACCTGGTGTGTTCTCACTGGTGGGCCGCTGCCTGGAAAAACCGCCGGTGATGACCGTCCGTACGGAATGCTGTTACTGCTCCGTTCTCAGCAAGTAGAAATCATCGTTTGTCACATGGATTCCCGAGTGTTGAGTGCAGGTTGTGGCTGCTGGTGACTCAGCTTTAGTATGATTGCGAGATATTTATGGCCTCTAATTGCAAATGTAGGCATTGGCTCAATACTTTTCTCACATTCCAGTCGGGCTTGTTACTCGTACCACTTTTATTGTGCCTCATTATTTTATGTTTTAGTCGGAATCAATAGAATCCGATACGGAAACCATTTGGGAGCTGCCCTACATTAAAATTTAGGATTATGCACAGTTTTTGTTTCATCTTTGTTTGCTTGCGTTGCTTCCTGCAGCTTCTGGAGAAGACACCGAGCTTAAGTAAACAGCCTCTGTGTAAGAAAGGTTATATAACACATTTCAGGATTTCCTATGAGTTTTAAATGGAGGGCGGACTAATGACGGTGGCAAAACATGCATTTGTGTCACGCACATTAACGTAACCCAAGTGAATTTTTATTAAAGGGCACTGGTGTGATACAGAGAGATACTACAAACAGGCTAAAATATAACCCTAAATGCTTCAAAACATGCAGAATTGACAGTCATTTTTAGCTGATATATTTGAAGAAAAAAAAACTCTGATATTCATTCGTTTTTGTTTCCATATAGAGACTATATAAAGTATTCACTCTTTTGGATGTTTCACCCTTTTTACTGATTTTAGTAGTTTTGGTAATGAGTTACCAAAACCACCACAAAGTCAAAGCTATTATCAAGCTAGCGCTACTCAAACGACTTGATAAACTAAATTTATTTATGTTTACTATAGCTTTTCTCACAGATGCACTTCATTTATCATTATTCTACAGTGTTTGCTTTCCCAAAGGCTACTTAAATGTAACCACAGGCTTGATTAATGAGATGTGTTCGAAAAGGAGATACTGCCAACTAACAAAAAGCACTGTTTCCAAAAAAAAAAAAAGTTAGGAGACTCTGAGAAACTCAGACTGGTACAGACAACAGCAAAGATAAATGCTTAAAAAAGATGTTCCTTTATTTGGAAAAAAAAAATGCTGGCATTCATATTTGCTGACAGGGTTCTTTTTTTTCCTAATCAAAAATGCCGCTATAGCAAAACTATAAATGTTGTATTCTTTAGAAGAAAAATGCAAAACAGTACTTTTCCCCCTCTTGTTTTAGTATTTATCATTCATTGGTTTGAGTTTGGTGACTGATCTGAACTGAAGGTGGAACAGTTCAGCAACCCAAACCTTTTACTGTGAAACATTCTGTGTTTTGATGCAGAAATTAGTTTTTTTTTTTCCATCTGTTTGTACAAGTAACACATCATCTGGATGATGGCATGCGTTCTTCCAGAAACAGAATACGTTTTTCAGCGCCAACTGTTCCTTCACGAGGTGCCAGTTTCCTGCTTGGCTTTTCGACTGTGTGCAGATAACAAGCTCGGTGGTCCCTCCTCACCTTAGTCCGGCAGATGATGACATGTCCCTTGAACATTACTAAAATAAACGGACTCTGACTAAAAGAAGGCAGCTTAGTTTTCAGGAGAAAATCCTGATAGTAGTGGGCATCATCTGCTTTTCTTTTACTGTACTGAGCTAAAGTACATGTTGACTTAACCATAGAGTAATGTGTACCATTTGTATTCTTAAAGAAGAAAGGTGCAGCTTTTGACTTAATGTTTAATATTTAATAGGGGGAAAAGTCTCTTCAACATCAATTATGCTGAAGAAATTAAGACAGAATGACTGTGTACTAGACAAACTGCACTTCCAAGGTACACACTGTTCTTTTTGACAAAGTTTGAGTGGAACAGGAGCTTGTTTTATACTTAAAGACATAAAAATGTATCAAGAGTCTGCTTGACTGTTAGATGTCAAGAGAAAGATCATGTTTCTAAATGTTATCGATCTGAGATTTAATGAGGTGACGTTAAATTTGAGTTAAAAGTTGGCAGAGAGAAAAAATGAACCCTGACTCCCTCTCTCAGCTGGAACTATTTCCACTTCTACTTCTAAAAAAAATGCTATAAAAATGGATGTTTTCTGCTACTGGGTTCTGGGATAATCAGAGACTTTTCACATTGGATTTAGAACCGGGTGACGCGCTTGATGAAAGTCCCTGAAGGATGCTTAGCAAGTTGTAGGTGTTCACGAAGCCCTTCTTTGAAAACCTTTGCGATCCAAGCCAAACATTTATAACAGCTGAAAGCTGGGTCCAGTTTCTTGGCTGGACGAAGGCTTTGCTGTTCTAGGGTTTGGTCTGATGTTCAGAAAAGAAACCCGCAGTCCCATAGGAATAGAGACTTATTAGGTCTCACAACCAATGAGCTGAATCTAAGACTATGCAATTAGAAAGAGCTGGTAAGCTGAAGCAATAAGATGAAATGTCGATATTCACAAAATCATAAGATAAGAACCTAGAATCATTCTAGTTTAATGCTTTCAGTGTTTCTTTCTGCTGTTAAAGAAGAACTTAC